AAAAAAAAACCCCAAAAAACTAATAACTGCCAAAACAGTGAAAATGTCCAGCTAGCCTCCTGTAGCATTAGCCCAGTTGCTATTGCTAACGCTATTTAGGGGAATGTCTTTTTAAAATGTTTATAAATGCACAGGTGAGGAACATTTTTGTGACTTCAGGTACGGACATTTTGAAGACATGTAAATAGATGTCACAGTTTGTAAAAAGCTGACAAAAACACGATGATAATGTTTTAGCATTTTAGCAAAATAAGCTAACCTAAATCTTTGCTATGACAGAGTTTAGGTGAACCGAAAGTAGGGACGGTCCGATACCTTTCTTTTTTTCTCCAGGATGCGGCAGGCTAACATTATTGAGTCAATAGTCTCCCGGTTTATGGCAGGTCGCTCAAAGTTAATTTGAGCATTTGGGTTGTTTTTCTCAATGACTGAATTTTTACTACAATACCTGACCAATGCCAATCCCGAGTATAGGATCAAGCCATCACTGAAAAGTATCAAGTTTGGGAAGAAATGATGATATAATTAGCTCTGGGAAAAACTAATAGTCACGTCCACATCTGCACAAATAGCAGATGTTTGTCCATAAGAAGGAGAAACGTGGTGAAAATACCACTTAATGTACCCCAAGATTTTATAAGTAAAACAGTTGCTGTTCGGTTGCGAGCTCACCTGCATCGTGTTCAAGCCATAATAAAGCAGAGAAAACTTACTTTTCTCACAAGTCCAAGGCCATATTTGCCCAATATTCTGTTGGCTCTGACTTTTGGTGAAAGTGGCGCTAATGCAGGAACACTTCCACAGAAAAAGGCCTGGGCTGAGCAGTTCCCCTCGTACGTCATCTGCTGTACATTTCTACAGAGATCACAGTGTGTGGACTGCAGACTTACATTGACCCAGTATTCCGGACAGGGCGGTTTTAAACTTGTCTTTGGCCTCCTCCATCTCCTTCTCGTGTTGACTCTTCTCGCTCATCAGCCGGCGGATGTGACTGTTCGACGACTGGATCATGGAGTAGAAGTTGTTGGCGTTCCGGCGGTTCACTTCGCCTCGCTCCAGCCACGTTAGCAGCACGTGCACTGCGTCGGGAAACTTGCCATCGTCTGGACAGAAGAGGTGAGCGGACAAGATATATGAGATCTTATTATCGGAGGAAAAATACATATGCATATAAATATACTATTTTTATTGGTCGATTTTTATACAGCATGTGACAATTGGAGATTCATTTATGTCGCCATGGATATGGTCATTTTTACATGAGGGGGTCGTCGGTTTACGAGGTTTTTTTTTTAAATTTTTTTTTACAAATCGCCAGTTGTACGCCATACATTAAATTGTGCTACATACAACCTTTTTTTGCCCTTCATTACGGCTCCCAGGCTTAAGACAGACTCTAATGTCTCTCTATGTCCTAGATTATAATGTTACCACTGTGTTAACGTAGGCGAGCGACAGAGGTATTTAAGTTCTGACTTATGGCAAAAATTGAGTTACGTCGCATTGTAGGAATGGACGTCCGATGTAAGTCGAGGACACAGTTCTATAATCCAATATTGGCTTTTTTTTTAAATGACCACTATCAAATAGAATAAAATTGTGAATGAAAAAAAAAAGTGTCTTAACTCAGATATATGATACAAAACTCAAAGGTTTTGATTTTTTAAGGTATTTACTTTAACACTCCAAATGACTCTTTCTGCATGTCTGATAAAGAACTGAATCTGAGGACAATAAAAAGAATGTTCGCTCATACGGGGGATAGTCGTGGTAAGACGATTCACACAAATTCGTTTCTGCTCAGAAATACCCATAAATGACACAAAAGCACGGTAAATGTAAAGCACAGACAGATGGCAAGCTTGTGTGTGTTTTTTTTCAGTGACCAGATAACAAATTCTTGGTTAAAAAAAAAAAAAAAACAAACACAGAAAAACAAACATGGGGTTGGAGGAGTCTTTGCATCAGAGCTGAAAAAGACAGACGAACAGATGGCCCAGAGGCATGAAGTCGGAGGCATTTTGTTATCGGGGCAACTGTGACTGAGACCTGGAAGTGTCACTGCTCATTAGTGACACCAGATTATTCAAGCAGAAAGTTGACAGGAAAGGAGGAGGAGGAGGAGGAGGAGGCGGGGATGCAGCAGGCAGGAGAGGAGGCAGAAAAGGACGGAGCAGCAGAGGAACAGAGACAAGGGAGAAATGAAGTGGCAGAAGAAACGAGACACGTGCACCGGAATCATCTCCGTTACATCTACTACATGCTACAAGTCATTTTTTTAAAATCAATTTAGAGAACACAGCCAAATCAAACAGAAGAAAAAAAAAAAAGTATTTTCTCATGTGTCAGGCTTTGCGTCAGCCTAACCTTTGATTTTGTCCCCCAACTGGCTGCACTCGTGCTCCGAGTAGTGGACGATAGGCGGAGGCGACGGCGGTCGCAGACGGTCCTCCTCCATCTTGCGGCGGTGTCGCTCTTCTCTCGCCAGCATCCTCTGTCGACACTCCCACTCGTACAAATCGTCCCTGGCCTGGGCAAAGTCCACGTGAAGACGACCAGTGTCTTTTTTATCCGTGCTGGAGCCTAAACGGATACGGTAACCTGGGAGGACAAAAGTGAGGAGTGGAAATTAGCCGCAGGAAGTTTCAACCAATTCCACATCCTACGCGCGGGGGGCATATTTTATGGTATAAATGCTAAAGCAAAAAGAGCCTTATTAAAATGATATTTTTCTTTATTTGGCGACCCAAAAATAGAATCTCCTGTGACCCGTCTTCAAGCCCCCGACCCAGATTTTTTTCGGCAGTGTTATGAAGACCCCACAGCGTGTACACGCTCTCTGTAAACAGACAAGAGAAACTCAAGGAGGGCAATTACTTGAAAATGAAGGAGCACAATCTCCCTCATTAGCCCCATCACTCCCGTCCTCTCCTCTCTCCACTTAACTCTCCCTCTCTCTCTCTCTCTCACTCTCTCTCTCTCTCTCTCACCGTTACTCAATTTCCTCTAATGGCTGGTTGTACATTAGAAGTGCAATCAGGTCCATTTGGTGATTTAATTGGATGAAACGATCACAGAGAGAGTGTTTAGCATAACTCTCTCTCTAAGTGTGCGTGTGTGTATGTGTGTGTGTGTGCGGTTGTTCCAGAGGATGCATGGAGGATGACTCACTGAGGCTGGATATGGCCCTCATCATACAGAGGAGGAGGAGGAGGAGCTGAGGTGGACACTCAGACAAATGAGTCTGAGTGTTGGAACTCTAGGCTCCAGGTCTGCTCCTGCTTCAATATTTTATATGAACAGAACTCTGGGAGCTACTGAGTGCTACTGTTTGAACGATGAGTGAGTGGGGGAGTTATACTTTTGCATACTTTTGTAAAAATGTTTTTGTGAATTTCATTTTCCAGTAAAATGATATACCCTTTTTCCGGACTATAAGTCGCACTTTTTTTTTCATCCTTTGGTTGGGTTTGCGACTTATATATGAAAATATATAATTTCACATGTTCGTTGTTTACACATTGACAGCCACTAGAGGGCACTCTAGGCTTATGTACCAGTATCTGCTACTCCTGTACCACTGATAAATTTACATGTTCGTTATTTTTACCCCAACAGCCGCTAGAGGGCACTGGTGCGACTTATACTCGGGAGCAAGTTATATATGTTTTTTTTCTTCTTCATTATGCATTTTTTGGCTGGTCCGGAAGATTCGTGTAATGTATATTGTGTTAAAGTTTGTAGGACCATGAGTTAGACAAGCTTTGCTTCTCAAAGTGTGGAGCGGGCCCCACCGGTGGAGAACGGAGACAAGACAGCATCGAACTGTAAAATATTTTTAAGGTTCGAGTGATGATGGCACAACCGCACTTGTATTTTCCATGTTTGTTACTGATTTTGATTTGTTATAAAATATGATACTGAATTTCAAATGTAATTTTGTCAAAATGAACAAAAAGGTTTGAGAACCTCTGCGTTCGACCCAGATTTGTTTTCCGAAGGTTTAGAAGATACTGTTGAACTTTTAGCTCATTCTGAGCTAACTCTTCTTAGCTATCGTTGAGCCATATTTGCTACTTCTTTAAAAATCACATTCAGTTCTTTGCCATCACATAGCATGTGCACAGCATTTTGACTGAAGGCCTGTCACTAACTAACCATTAACCAGTGGCTAAAATGCAGCCCCAAACTTTTCCAGAGACATGCATGTTCTTCTTCCTTTGGTTGATTACAGGGAAAGAAAAAAGTCCGATTTCACAGCCGTGGCTGCAGCAGCAGAGACGGTCTTCTCTATGTGTTGTATTATTTAAAGAAGCCTACAATGCCAACTCATACAAAAATATGATATTTCAGTACAAAGTGATTAATAATTGAAGCTTGGGCCCACACCACAAACCTAAAGACGGTTAAATAATTCAGGAGACTCCTCATGTGTGAAGATGACGAGATTTGTGTGGTCGGAAGAGAGAATTCATAGATTGTGTTATTCTTTGCGTTAGCTGTAAGGACAGCGGTACACTCATTACAGTTACAGTAAAAAAAAAGTAATGTAATTATTCGGAGAGAAATAACCAAAGATCCCAGAAGACTGAGAAGACTCCAGTAAAAGACTGGAAGTTTGAACTGTTTCAATGACTTGAGTTCTACAAAGGCCAAGAAAAAGTCCACTTCTGCTGCAGAGACCCTTCCAGGACCGGAGAATAAAACAGCACAATCTTGTATTTTGGAAATGTTGATATGAATTATGGAAAAGAGGAGAGAAGAAGAAAAAAACGAGAAATTCTCAATCAGAATACTTGGAAACTGGAGAAGAATTGTCTCAAGAAAAATGAAGTGAAACTTAAAAAACTGACCTAAAATCATGCAACACCTTACATCTATTTGCAATGAGGCATAAAGCTAATACGCCGCAAGCTAGCCGACGAGCAATTAGTTTCAACTGGTCTCTGCGTGATTCAAATATGTCACATCACTGCTAATAATTTTGCTAGAGAAAAGCCAAGCAGTGAGAGTGATGCAGACCTACCAGACAGAAACAGAGCCTTGTCCACCGTGAACTCTTCCGCAAATCGGATGTGACAGAAGTTCTTTTTACTTTTTCGTATCGCTGTGATGTCGCCGCACTGACCGAAGACCTCCATGATGAGCTGCTCGGTGGCGTTCTCCGGCAGACCCCCGACGAATACCGTCTTACACCCTGGGGGGCGCTCTCTTGTGGCGGGAGGAGGAAGGTCTGGGCAGAAACGAGGATAAAAAAAAAGAAAAAAAAAACAAAACAAGGATTAATAAATAGTGAGAACTGGACTGGGAAGATATAATGATGTAGATAAGGATGTGTGTGGAATGTGAAGTGTAGATAAGTAGCTGAAATATACGTATGAAGAGGCAGCTGTCGAGGGAAATATATGAGTGAAAGGAAGAAGCTGAAGACGAAATGACTGGAATGAATATTATTTGAGGTACCATTAGTGTCTCTGGGACACAGAATTAGTGGTTAAAAAAAACCCTAAAGAAAACCCCAAACATATATATATATAAATATATATAAAAATATATATAAATATATATATAAATATATATATATACATACTAAAAATATATAAATATAAATATATATATACATACTAAACCCGGTAAAAGGGAATGCAGTACAGACCAAAATTTTCTCTCTGGGTGAGAATATTAAGACAAATATAATCAATAGGAAAAAAACGGATTCTGCAGAATTCAATTAAATACTATGAAAACCAACACATTTATGCCTCTTGTATGATAAAAGCTAATGAAAGAGTAATGATAACTCAGGGCAACGTGATCATATTATTATTATTTTTTTTTGCTGTTGTTAAATAAGCTTTTATTAACTTCATCTCACGCACAGAAATGAAAGTCTTTGGGCGTTCACAGTACGGTCGTGAATCTTCACACCGAAACGTCCCCCAGTTACAGGGACCACTCAGTCAACACAGCCACGTTGACTGGTCTCATCTCTGACAGATCAGAGGACTGGGATTATTTTAGTCCATGAGGAGCCAACAGGAGCATCAGTGGATGAGGAGCTTCTGGACGTCTGGCAGAAAAAGAGCCATCGGTGCTCCTTTCTCCTGTACATATCGACAGGCTGAGGAGCCCTGGGGTTTAACTAGGCAGGAGACCTGAGCCGCACTTTGTTGAGCAGTGAAGAAATACGGCTTCATTCATTTTCATCTTTATTTTTTTTTTACAACGTTCAGAAGTAGTAGAAATGTTATTTATTATTATTTCATTGCTGTTTATTTTGGATGGATGGATAGATGGATGGATGGATAAATGGATGGATGGATGGGTGGATGGATGATAGAGAGATAGATGGGTGGATGGATGATGGATGGATAGAGAGATAGATGAGTGGATGGATGGATGGATGGATGGATAGAGAGATAGATGAGTGGATGGATGGATGGATGGATAGAGAGATAGATGGGTGGATAGATGGATGGATGGATGGGTGGGTGGATGGATGGATAGATGGATGAAAAGAACATTAAAAGTCCTCAAATATCTTTCCAGAGTGTCTTCAGAGTACTGCAGAAGTACAAGACAAAACCCACGACTGTGTGTCTTGTTGATACTTTTGCAGCTCATTTTGTCCCTTTACAGCCATTGGACAATGTTGGTCATTGTGATCCGTGGTCACCTGACAGCTGTTTAGCATATCTGTGTTGTTTAGTGCGTATGCTGTGGCTGCGAGTGTCCTACTGGTCATTACTGTACGTTTTCTCCTCATGTTTGCATCCCTTCACCACCATCACTGCTGCTCATTTTTATTCAATCTACTAAAGCTGAAAACAGAAAACTGGTGTTTCATTTCTAGAAGGAATAAACAAGTTTCAGGGCAAGAGGGAAGGATTTTCAAAAAATATGTTTCGCCTCCTTGTAGTTAAAAAAAAAAAACAACAAGCAGAAAGTACAGCTGGCAGATGTAACAACGAGTTTCATATGAAGTGACCTTTTCGGTCTACTGATGTTGGCGATGTGGTCGAGGGGAGAAGGAGAAGAACGGAGGAAGGAGGAAGGAGAACAGGTGCAGAGCCTCAAACACAGTCTGTGACTGCTCTAACTCCTTTTGGAAAATTGTTTTGTTTCCCAACAAGACGTTTGGGTTAATTTGGCTTTGCTGAGACATTTACCGCTGCGCTTTTGAGACGGTCTGTTAGGGGACGTTTCATTTACATGCACGACGCGGAAGATTAAGAACTTTGTGAGAAAGACTTCAAGGATGTTCATTTTAAACTGCAGCCACGGGAGCCGAGGAGAGAAGGAAGGAGGAGAGGGCTTAAAAAGACATCCAGTAAACAGGAGAGAGAGGGGAGAAACTGACGGTTATGGAGATAATTTAAAATATATGATTGAAATGGCCTTTATGGAATTCAAACATATATTCAATATATATAATATATATACATATATACACATGTATACATATATATACTGTACATATATACACATATGTACACATATATACACATGTATATATATATATATATACACATGTGTATATATATATATATATACATATATACACATATGTAGACATATATACATACATACACATGTATACATATATATACTGTACATATATACACATATGTACACATATATACACATGTATATATATATACACACGTATATATATATACACATGTGTATATATATATATATATATATATACATATATACACATACATATATGCATATACGTATCTACATATATACATATATACACACATGTATACATATATACGTATATACATATATGCACATACATATATGCATATACGTATCTACATATATACATATATACATACATATACATACATACATATATAGATATATACATATATACATACATATACATACATACATATATATATATATTATTTTAACTAAACTTTTAAAACCCCATCTATAAACATAAGTGTGAGATGGTGTATATTTAACATGTTATGTTCAGTTAAATATGAAAGCGTCTACTACTATGTGTGTGTCTATGTATGTATGTATGTATGTGTCTATATATTTGGTATGTGGTGTGTTTGTTCACCATCCATCTCCGGGATCTGACTGAACCCAGTTTTATATTCCGAGGAGCTCCAGCCAGTGGAGTGGACCGTCGTTAATAAGACAAAGTACCTTCACGCTCGGTCATGTAAACACACTCAACAGCTCACGTCGCCAACGTGGACACAGAATGAGAAACAAGAGGCATATAAATATTTATCAGATGTGTTCTGTCTTTAAAATAAATGATGTGCTTGAAATGGAGTCATTTTTCGGCTTTCGTATACAATTTTTTGTTTTTGTAGATTTAGTGTACTGTATGACAGTGTTCATGGTACTACAGATATGTGGATTACTACAGGTACACATTTAAAATAGGTGTAAAAGTCGATCACAATAGGTGTAAAGGTCTATTAAAATAAGTTTAAAAGTCGATTCAAATAGGTACTGTATGACAGTGTTCATGGTACTACAGGTATGTGGATTACTACAGGTACACATTTAAAATAGGTGTAAAAGTCGATCACAATAGGCGTAAAAGCCGATGAAAATATAAGTAAAAGTCTATTAAAATAAGTGTAAAAGCCTATTAAAATATAAGTAAAAGTCTATTAAAATATAAGTAAAAGTCTATTAAAATAGGTGTAAAGGTCTAATCTAAGAGTAAAAGTCTATTAAAATAGATGTAAAAGTCTACTTAAATAGGTGTAAAAGTCTTAAAATAGGTGTAAAAGTCTATTAAATAGATGGAAAAGTATTTTAAAATAGTTGTAAAAGTCTATTTAAATAGGTGTAAAAGTCTATTAAATAGATGGAAAAGTATTTTAAAATAGTTGTAAAAGTCTATTAAAATAGAAGTAAAAGTCTATTAAAATATATGTAAACGTCTATTGAAATAGGTGTAAAAGTCTATTAAATAGATGGAAAAGTATTTTAAAATAGTTGTAAAAGTCTATTAAAATAGAAGTAAAAGTCTATTAAAATATATGTAAAAGTCTATTTAAATAGGTGTAAAAGTCTATTAAATAGATGGAAAAGTATTTTAAAATAGTTGTAAAAGTCTATTAAAATAGAAGTAAAAGTCTATTAAAATATATGTAAACGTCTATTGTAAAAGTCTATCAAAATAAGTGTAAAAGTCTATTTAAATAGGTGTAAAAGTCTATTAAGACTTTTTCACATGAGGAAGGAAAGCAGGTATAAAACGCCAAGCCATTCAATCGTTGTCAAGATAACTGTCCACTTGTAACGTTTGTTAAAACTTCTGGCTTCAGGTGTTGATACCGTGACAAGCTACAAATCCACGATACGTATAACATTTTACGAAAAGACTTAAGTCTTTTTTTTTTGACGCATGGCTATTAAACCTCGATGCAACTTGAAGTATCCGCAGATACCGATATAATCCGATATCTTCCTTTCTCCTCCAGCAGGCTGCAGGCTGCCATTGCTTTGTCCGTTTACGGCGTGACACGTAACGTTAAGTAAAACATCTGGACTGAAGCATCAAATCAGACGAGATACTGTTGTTTTTTTTAATCCTGAAATTTTGATCAACATCGGACCGATCCTGAGTATCGGATCGAGGCTATCAGGCTAACATAAATTTTGATCAACATCGGACCGATCCTATCGGATCGAGGCTTTCAGGCTAACACTTGACTGTCTCTGTACTTACTTTAACTCTCTCCCTGTTGTCATGTCGTTTAGCCTACTCTTCTCCAAGTACTCCTCCCTAAACTAACTCGACTGCTTTGGGAACGGGCACAAACCAACAGAGCAGTCTGAAGCTGACGGTGGCGAGGACGCGGAGCGTGATGGAAACATCGTTATTTCACACCCAGTGCAACCAAAATGGGTTTCTGGGCATCAAAATAGTAACATCCGAAATAAAAAAAAAAAAAAACAACTGTCAGGTGATGAACACGATACAACTCCAAATTTTTTCTCTCCACTGCTCAGAATAGTCTGTTTGGCTGAGTTTTACAGACAGCAGAAAATAACTACAGCATAACGGGCTTTCATGACAGACTCCTGCTGGTAATTGAAAGTGCCTTTTTGTCTAACGTTACAGCTTGGACCGGTGTCACACTGAGGCGAGAATTTATATTTCGCACTTCAAGCGTCAGAACCTGTATTCTAACCTTCCCATTATCCCTGATTATCCTTTATTTGGGGCATGAACCATTTGTGGGGAGTTTTTCTCGTCCTATTTCTACATTGCAAAGAGAAAACACACACGAACCTTCCAGCGCTCTCCATTATTCTGCTGTAGAATCACTCTGCTCTAATTATGCAGCATTCCCCACTTTTAGCCACTACACATGAATCATGACCCCTGATTGTGGCTTTGAGGTAGATGGAGTAGGAGATCAGAAGCACTGTCTCCAGGCTTGGATTCCTGTTTTTTCCCCCCCAACAATAGTTAAGTAAAAACCATCCATCACTGTCCGCTGTGCAGATTCACCTGTTTGGTCCTGTTAGGAAGAACTCAAGTGATTCGCTCCTAGCAATTCAACAGAAGGAAAAAAAAAAATCCAAGAAACAAGATCCAAAATTTGTTATCAGCCATTTATTTGGGATGTTTACTACTCAGCCTTGATTTCCACTTCTTTTTTTTTCATAGTAAGACTTAACTGGATATGTCCACAGCCTTTGGGCAACATCTCAACCAAGCCGGTCTTAAACTGCAGGCCCGCAGGCCAAAAACGGTCCATGAAACCCCCGTATCCGGCCCACATTTAGACGTCAATAATGATTGAATTTGTTCTTGATTTTTAATAATTACATTTTTTTTTCATATTGTTTCATTCATATCGTGGCGCTTTAGCCCCATTGGTGTAGAACCCCAGGGTTCACCTCCTGGGCAAAATCAAATCCTGGGTTAGGGCGGTTGGCGCCCCCCAGTGGACTCACCACCCGTAAAAAGATTGACAAGGAGCTTGTGCTGTGCAGTGGGATTTGGGTGGCGGTCATGCAGACTGCTGCCCCCGCGACCCGGTAACGGATAAGTGGATGAAAATGGATGGATGGTTTCATTTATATGGTAGAACATATTTTTTCCTTAAGTTTGAGATCTTTGTAAAGACTAAAGAGCCTGAACTTGACTCTTTTTGGGGTGGGTTTGTTTTTTTTTTTTTCTAGTTAAAGAACTGAGCCCCCCCCAAAAAATTGTTACCACATGTTTCAAACCACACAAGTGCAGACTGGTGAGAGTGAAACCCAATCCACATAGACCACACACACGTTTGTGGAGAACAAACCTGACAAAGGTAGTTTATATGTTGAGAATGGAAGTTATCGCTAGAAGCAACTCAAAAAGTATATAAAACTAATCTTAAACGGGGAAAAAAAAGTCAAATTGGTCCTAAAATTTGTAATGCAATGTAATGTAAAAGTCATGCATAAAAGCTAAAATGCTAAAAATGCTTTTATCCTTCTCGACACCATCTATAGGTATAATGTAGGCATTGCAGGGAAAGGGCAGAAATATGATCACAATATAATCCAAATATATAATTTGGACAAGTTTGGCGGGCCGGATTACAAAGCTGAATGGTCCACATCTGGCCCCCGGGCCTTAGTTTGCCCATGCCTTGGCTAAATGCTAACAGATTTCTCATTGAAAGGTACTGTATGTATCTTAAAATGTATCTAAAAGCTAGCCAAGGAGAGAGACCTCAAATCACTCAAAAATCAAGTATTCAGCCATAACGCAACTAGATCAACTCACTAACTGACAACTTAACTGACAACATAGCTTAAAAGTAACTATCAGGTTACTTAGAAAAAGGCTAGAAACCTTCCCACCAAGCCGCCGTGAAGTTAGCAAAATATATGCTAGCAACACTACAAAATAAAAAGCTTGAAACTTTAGATTCCATGAGGCAGAACAAAATCCAAACCAGACAAAGATTGTTTTTTTCTTTTCAACTTTTCATTCCTTACTAGTCAATTCTGCAGGCCCTTGGACTCACGCAGCCCTCCACTGTTGAGACAGCAAACCTCGAGAGACCAAAGCCAACTTTGATAGCACCGATAGATCTGACTTTCATAAGAAGAATTCAGCTGAGACACTTTATCCATAAAAGAATCTGCCTTTTTCAAGACACCCGGCTTGAAGACCGACGACAGTGACAGATACAGGGGGACATTAAAAGAGACGGAGATCAGAAGAATCAGAACCGGTGCAGAATAAGTGGAACGATAATGAAAGGTGGAACAGAAAAAAAAAAAAAAAAACGGAAAGAAAGTGATTCTCAGACAGGTTTCCCAGTCGGCTGTTATACCACCGTGGATTTACTCACTATCAGAATCTGGGCTAAACGTCATAAAAGATTCACAGCTAACGGCCGTTAAACACAGAAAAGGTGTCAATTTTCAAACCACTTGAACACGAGCGAGGGTCATGTTTGGAATTCAGCTTACAAAAGAAACACTTTGATGTTAACACATGTGCTTAACTGTCAATACGAGGGTGTAATCGCTGAGGATTGCACATATATATGTAGTTTCGCGTCAACAGCAAAATAGCTACAGGTTAGCAAAAACGGCGACACGTTATATAAGTCAAACCTTAAAAAGTCAGACCACAGATACAGTAGATCGGGATGTCAAGCTTATCGTGGAGCCCCATCAGCTCCACAGTACAGCGCCCCCTGAAGGGTCGATTGTAAATGGACGACCGCATAAACGTAACTACTCCATTACGTACTAATAAGTGGTTCTGCAATTAAGTATTATTTACAAATTTTAAACATCGCTGTGTAAAAATGTATATAACTGATCAGATTAGGAAATTCAGCAGCATGTTCCGCATTATAAAGGGAAACACTTTTTTAAGCACACAAAATGACCTGGCGTGCCACATTCGGCCCGCGGGCCTTATGTTTGACACCAATGCAGTTGATGGTGAGCTGCCAGAGCCATTAAGGCGGAGCATTATATACAGTTTGCTGTTTCCAAACTCACATATTGTTGCATAATCCGATTAAATGTTCAACTCCTTCACCTGTAGCAGGAGTCTGGCACCGACAGTGTAGGCGAGGCAGTATTTTTAGCCTCAAATAAAATATAATAAAAATAACTTACTGGGGTTTGGAGGGAACAGGGTGCAGCTCTTGCAGTGGATGATTTCTTTGACAACAGGAAGATCCTGCGAGAGTGGAGCGGGAACGATTCCAATGCCGGGCATCAGGGGATTGATGGGGGTGATCCCGGCCATCATTCCCAGGTTGGGATCAAAGTCTGCGGAGAGAAAAGACGGACGCGTACACAGTAAACACCGAGGCTAAGAGTGGTCTGTAACAGCTTCTGTTAGGTCAGATGTCACAGCTGTCACACCAACAGCAAACACGTACACTGTTAACATGAATAAATCATCCACACAACATACATTTTTGAACAGTTGTTTTTTTTTTTTTTTTTCTTTCTCCGAGCCACTGTTTGTTCACGGCTGCAAAAACGACAAATGAGGAAGAAACTCTTTTGCTTCAGTAACTTAAAAAAAACATATTTGGGAGGGAATTCAATCTAATGTTGTACGATTCTTAGCTAATTATAGAAAAAAAAAAAACGTCATAATTGACTAGCTTTAGAGATGCTAACGCTAACCTGAAGCCTTTTTTTTTGCGATGTTTGGCATTTATCTTCGTTTTCGCACATTCATGTGGCTAACCGTTAGCGGGTTTCATATTCTTCGTAGAAAACACAAAACGATTCACGGTAATACAGCCTTAGTACAAAGATCAGGCTAACCTAGCACGCTAACGTAGCCTGCTATAGTGACACGAAGCATGATAGTGGCGACAGTTGTGGCGGCGTCTTTTACATGTTTTGTTTTTTCGGTATTATTTTAGCATCATCATTTGTTTTTCTCTTTACCCCGCCACCCCCCCGCCCCCACCACACACACCCATGTGTGTGTGTGCATGCCCACACACCCATGTGTGTGTGTAAAAAATGATTCACCCTCTGTCTTTGTTATCAGAATCAGATCCTCAGCAGCTGGTGCTGAGGCTCAAACCACGCTGAAGCTTTATTTCCATAGGCTAACCTAGCACCCACTCACACACTCACACACACACACACACACAGACACACACTCACACACACTCACACACACACACTGAGATTCCATTGCAGTTATTGAGATACAACTCCATTATTCAGTGGAGAGAACGTGAAAACGTTAAACGCTATTGAATTCCGTTGCCTTACAGAAACTACAACCCAGAACTCTGGAACTGGAACCAGTACAGTATCAGACACACTTTGTGTTTCTGCGCCAAATACTAGCAATGTTACTCTAAACTGGTGTTTTTCAACCTGAGGGTCACGGCCCCACATGGGGACGCCTGGAATGCAAATGGGGTCGCCTGAAATTTCCAGTAATTAATAAAAAATAAAAAAAAAGTATATTGATGAATAAAAAAAAAAAAAAAAGTATATTGATGACAATATTTTTTTCCAAAAATGATTATTATTATTATTATACCACAATTTTTCCAAAAATGATTATTATTATTATACCACACACACACTTTGTGCACCAATTTGGCGACGAAAACGAGTTAGCTAGAAACAGTAACAAAAACTAGGAAACATTTTCGGCAAGGCACCCAAAGACAGGATCTCACAAACACAAACACCTGGTGGAGAAAAATACTGTCCTCCTGTCTGCAGTAGAAGACAAATGGTTCGTGGGACTTAACCAGTAAGACGTCTCCGGTGTTCTCTAAGATAGAGAGACACGCAGCTATTCTTTTGCGGTAAAACCTCGTCGTGTTTGAACTCTGTTTGGTTTCATCATTTCCCCGGCTGCAGTTTGTTGTTTTTTTTCCTCTCACTCCATCGTCCACTTCCAGCACCTTTTCTTATCAACTTGTCTACGATCTGTCTTCTTTTCCTCCGTCATTAATTGGCTGGATCATCGCTCGCTCTCACTGAGAGGTTGATGATTCTGTTGCTGGACTGCTTTCCTTTTCACCTTTAAAAAAATTTTTCTTTCCACTCTGTAGAATTTATGGAGGTCTCCCTGCTGCAGGAACAGACTGGGAGGTTTCTGTAATGCAGGCTTGAATCTCTTTTACTGCACGTTTCACTCATCTAACACTAAAAACCTCTGCTGAGGATAAAGCAGCGGTTTCTCTAAGAGAACAGGAACGCTGGCTCTGGCTTCACCACAATATACTCCGATGACTAACTCTGGATGTTTTAAAGCACACGTCAAACTCAGGCCCGGGGGCCAAATCTGGCCCACGGTGTAATTATATTTGGCCCACGAGATCAGATTAAATGTGTACTAGAGTTGGACAGTTTATAGCTGCTATATATTGGTAGAATTTTAGTATTAGCGGTGTATGTTATAGCACATACATTTTGGGTTTTTTTGTTGTTGGCCTGTGAAAAAAAAAATTACATTAAAAAGGAACCCGAAAGGCTGCAGATAAAGAGACAGAAGAAGAAACAAATACAACTGATGTGTTTTATTTTAAATTACTCATGTATTAAATTAAATTAAGCTTTGGTTGTTCCAGATTCATTGTTTACGCAAAATAATAAAACAAGTTTGTTTCTATATGAAAAAATTCAACATTTCATATCTGGAGAGAAGGGAAAACATGAAAAATACCATCCGTTTTTTAAGAAATATTAAGTTTGGGCCGTGACTTGGTCTCAGTTTTTAATTTTGGCTCACTGTGAATTTGAGTTTGACAACGTTTTTTTTAAAGGAACTAGAGCGTTCACACAATATAAAACCGTCAAAATTGCTAACACATAGCATAGCAGATGAAGAAAAGCTTTAAATAAATCCGCTGTAGAAGCTAAAACAAACTAGTTATCTAGCCATTAGTCAAGGTCTTTAAATGTTTCGCCAAAAAAAAAAAACCCAAATTACCTGTTGTTTTGAAACATGGACAGATTATCTTTAAATAAAAAAAGTAAAGGGATATGACTGGATTCTTTTTGAATGAAGTAAATTAGTAAAACTGAAGTACATTTTTTTCCACTTTGTCCCGGTACCAAATGATCTATGGACCGACATTGGTCCCCAGACCAGGGGTTTGGGGACCCCTGGTCTATAAGATCACATATAACATGGAATGACCACAATGTTGTCAAATACAATTAAATACTAATAATTGGGAATGTAAATATTAACACAAATTACCGCCATACAATTAAAGTAAAAAGGTAAAAAAATGTCTGGAAAAGAAAATGAATCCAAAAAAACTAAAATGAACCCTGAGAAAATCAGCGCCAAAATCTAAAAAAATCTAAAAAAAAAAAAAAAAATCCAAAAGGCAAAATGAAAAGGACCAATAGTTCTAAATCACGTTTTTAAACCGATCAGTCGAGGAAAAAAAAAAAAAAAAAAAAGCCTCAATGTTGTAGTAAATAAAGCTGAAATGTAGCACCTAGCCAAACACGGAGGGACTTATTTCACCTCTTACTCTATATTTAGTGTTTGACCGATGTCCCAGGGTTTCATGGATGAAATCAGAGCTGCTCCGTTCGTATGTTGTTGCACCGAAAACTAGATTTCAGCTCAGAGCCAGGACATGATCTGGTTACATCAGGCCACGGCTGGTGCAATTTCAACGCCGCTCTGCTCACATTCCCTCTGGAGTGTGTATACACTTGCCTATGTGAGTGCGTGTGTGTGTGTGTGCGTGTTATTTGTCCTTGTCCATTAGGGGCCCTGGTCCTGCAGCAAACATGTAACACAAGCACAGCTAATAAAGCCCAGTTACTTCTTTCTAGGAACTCCCTGCCACAGCAGAGTATTTTTAATCTCTGTGTTTGAGACCAGGTGCGATGCTGTTGAAACATTAAGTCTAAAACTAATGGAAAAAAAAACAGGTTTAAATCCCCCCCCCTGACCAAAAAACAAAACAATGATTAATGATATCTAAAATGTACCTCAACACTGGTTAGTAAAACGATGGGTCAAAAATAGCTAAAGACTGCAATACGAACAAATATTGAGCCAACACCTAGCTTAGCTCTACTTGAAAGGTAGAGGATGAACAAAGCCAAATGCTATATCATGAAGCTAGGCTATGTTTTTTGACCGTCAGGTCACCTGAAATGTAAATGGTGTCAACTGAAATGTTTAGAAATTGATACAAAAAAATACTAATTAATTTAACTCTGTATTTGCAACACGGTAAAAAAAACGTGTTTAAAAACTAAGGCGTTGGAGTTGCCAAAATGTGTCATGTCAAAAGCCAGAAAACGTTAGGAACGATTAAGTTTTCGCCCAGTGATATCTTGATTAGGGCTAGCCAAAAACGGTTAAAAAAAATTTGCTTAGCTTAGCGCTAATAACTAGCCAGATTAGGCAACAAAGTGGAATGTTAGCCTATAAATAATTATACAGGAACCTGTCCGAGAACTACAATACATATTTAGAACGAATATTTTCTCCCAGTAATATATTGATGAGGCTAGCCAAAAACGGTAAAAATAACTTAGCTCAGAGCTAATAGCTAGCCAAATTAGGAAACATAGTGGAATGTTAGCTTATAAAAGTTTATACAGATACCTGTCTGAGAACTACAATACAAAAAAACAACAAAAAAATTGAAAAATATTTATTTTCTACTCAGCCGTCTCTGACAGATGGTATTTTTCTTCTCCTTAATTTGACAATAAGAGAAAATATTCCAGCTGATTTTCACTGTCCTCACTGTCACTCACCGCAGCCCGGACTTTAAGAAAACACAGGATAATGTATCGCAGGCGGATGGACTACAGACTTTTCTAAATGATTTATTGCTTCATTGGAGATTTATATATTTTTTTATGTTTAATAAATCCTTTTCAACATTTAAAGAATCATTATGATACATCTGTTATTTCTGTATCTGCACTGAGGCGAGAAGATAAAACAAACAAACAAAAAAACAACCGTGCCTTCATTTTGGCCCTGTACCTGCTGCACTTTGGAGGAAATAAAATCCCAGATATTGATTTCCTACAGTACACGTTTCCACAAATGTCTTTCCACCCGATTACATTTTGAAGGTGAAATCTCACAGGAGGCATTTTCCTGCAGAAACAGGAAACTTTGGAGGAAAACAGTTCCCTCAAAATGGGTTTCCTTCACAGGCATCATGAGTTACACCATGCTTTTTTTTTGCTTTTTTTCTTACTGGAACACAAGACAAAAATGTGAGTATCCTGATCTGATGTGCAATTGGAGTCGGAATTATTCAGACCAAAATAATTGTGAATTATGA